CACCTGGGTGCCTGGAGATGGACCCACCAGGGAGGCCTCTGTCCTGGGGAGCCCAGCCGGCCCAGGTGGCATGCTGGAAGCCTGCGCCTCCGCAGGTGGAGAGGGGGAGGTGTGCTGAGGCTACTGCAGCAAACCAGACACCCGCAAGGGGAGATGTTGAAGATGGGCAGTCTGACTTTTCTCATCCAGAAACTGGGGGGAAGCGTAAGGTAGCTCGGCGCGGTGCAGCCAGGGCCTGCTGACATGCCCTTTATGCGCAGGGAAGCGGGGCTGGCTGCGCGATGGGGACCAGATGGTGGGCAGGCCCGCACCAAGTCGTGGGGGTGGGGTGGGACAGGACTGTGAGTGGGAGGGCCCGGGGTCTCTGTCATTCACTGCATGACACATCCCTACACACCCTAACCTCAGACTGCCCCCCCTCACTCCTCACCACCCCCACCCCGGGCGGGGGCGGGCCTAGTTGTCCATCTCAGCTTCACCCCACACTCAGGCCATACAGAAGCCAACATAGGTGAAGCATGTCACTCTGACTCGGCTGTGTCTCTGTCCAACAACACTGCGCACCAGGCGTCAAAGCCTCCGGAGCTCTGCCTCCCAGAGCTCTCACCCATGGGTGCTTCCTAAATGGCGTAGAACACACGTCACCTTAGACCTGCACAGGAATGCCCGGGGCTGCCCCAGACTCAAATGTGACGTGGCGGCACACCCACACCATGCAGTGGCCTGCAGCACTACAGGGAACGTTCCACCACGCCACAGAAAGACACGCAGGGCCTTCAACATGCCTTTTCAGTCTGAGAAACCCGTGCGGAAAAGCTACACTATGTAAGGTGTCATTCTGGAAAAGACAAGACTGCAAAACATCAACGATTCCCGGGGCCCTGGGGGCGAGGGGAAGGGGCAGACCGGTGCAGCCCAGGGACCTGTGTGACACTGCAGCTAGGGACACCCGAGACTATGCTTTGCCAAAACCCACGGGGCTGTACGATCCAGAGAGCAAGTGACAGGCTTTGGTGAGTCATGAACAAATACTGGCTTCTCAATGGAAAGCAATGAGCCCTAACAAAGTAAGACAGCGGAAGAGGCCACATGGCATGCAGCCGCGGGAAAAGGGGCAGGCGGGACCTCGCTGTACTCTCCAAGCACCAGTTAGTTCTCTGTCAACCGACAGCTGCCTACCTGCGGTTGTACATCAAGCACAGGGGAAGAGTAAAACAAAACAGAGCAAAACTCTCCTACACCCAGTGTGGCTGGCGCTTCTAATGGGGACTCAGAGAAGCCAGGGAGAGTCTGGAGCGAGAAGGAAGGGCGAGAAAGCTGGGAGGGGCTAATGGGATGGTGGGGAGCGGCGGCGGGAGCCAAACCTCGGGTGTTTGATGACATTCAACAACCAGGGCCGCGTGCTTCTGTTTCCCAGGTATCACCAACATGCACCCGGTAGATGACAGCCGGGGGCTCACTGCTGGAACCGATGGGAGACACAGGTCTGGGGGAGAGTCAACTACCCACTCCTTCCCCAGCCTTTCCAACTCAGACCCGGAGAGAAGGGGCCACGTGAGCCCTGATCGTGGGCGTGGAAGCAGCACGGCAAAGCCGCTGAATGCCACGGTGCACTCTGGGGCTCGGGATCACATGCCATTGCTAGACCCTGCTCATTGCACCCCTAGATCGCCTTTTTATAAGCGGTACATTCATCACCTCTGTAATTAGCAAAAGGGTCATCTCCCGGGAGCCCTGCTGCTTCAGTCTGTCTTTTGGGAGCTGGAGAGATCTTCCTGCAGTTATTCAATATTTTAGCTGTCTGTCCTTTTTCCAACTCCAAAACTTGCAAATTTGAAAGTTTGCCTTGCTTTTTATAGCACCAACAAAGCTGCTGACTGGGGGAAAAGAAGAAGAAGAAATAGAAGCAGCAGCAACAGCCAAACCCTCCCCTCCCTACTAACCGGAACCAGGCTGGCTTCAGAGTCCCCCAAAGCACCACGCCGGTGGCCTCACTCGGGGGACTCATCGCCGTCGGAAGACATCCACTGGCGTTGCCAGATGTCTTGCTCAAAGAATGCCATGCCAATCCACCAGATAACGCTCACCCCCAGACACCCATTTGGCTTGCCTGGCACCCTCCTTTGTCGAGTCTACGTCCTCCCACGTGGACGGGGCCAAACTGGTTTGTCTGTGTCTCCAGGGTGATCTGTCTCTGATCTCGCTCTCATGCGTGGCCTGGGGTGGACACCTGCCCTGCTGCGCAATTCCAGAATTTACCTTTCTGCCCTCGGGGACCTGGGCCAGCATGGCCAGTCTGTCCCTCCTGGCATGGCCCTTTTCCTCCCAGTCCCTCCCACACCACCCAGGTAGTTCTCCAATCACGCCGGGGCTCTCTGGAGTCCGCTGGCAGGAGAAGCTAAGAGCTCTCAGCTCACCCAAGTGGATGCCAGGTTCCCCTAAGCCTTGCATCCCAGTCTTGCCAAGCTGAAGACCTGCCTGGGTAACCGAGAGCGTGTGGAGAGAGAAAAAGACTTAAAGCACAGCCATTCCCATCTGACGGGAATTTCACAGGCAGTTTATCAGGAAGCTTAACCTCCTGTTTCTGGCCTGATTCCTCTCCCCCTGCCAGCCAGACAGAAAGAAGCCTATGCACACCGGGGTGCACACACAAAAGCCACACCTGGTGAAGGGCTGGCAGATACCTTCTCAGAGAATGCAGGGTCCCTAACAAGCAGGGTCCCTCACCTACCAATAGATGCTCAGGACTGTGGACAGCAGGGTGGTGCAGTCACATTCTTTACCAACAGCGACTGTCGCGAAAATCAAAGGCCGTCATCTGATTTCTAGATCTTCGCCTCTGACATAAGGTGGCACTGTGCGTGGGTGGGCACTGGACTGCTAATTGTCAGGTTGGAGGTTCAAACCCACTATCGGCTCCAAGGGAGAAAGACGAGCCAGTCTGCCCCCATCCAGATGCACAGTCTTCGAAACATGGCCTGGAGACGCCGTGCGTGGGGACGGACTTGGTAGTGGCGGATGGGGCTTGGGTTTCGGTTCTCTGAGGAGCCCTGGTGGGTGTAAGTGGTGGGCTGCTCGCTGCGATGCTGGCAGTTCAAACCCACCAGCTGCTTGAGGGAGAAAGAGAGGCGGCTGCCCGCTCCGGTAAATTTACAACCTCAGAACCTTCCGTAGGGTCGCAGAGAGTCAGAGTCCACCTGAAGGAGGTGGGGTTGGGGGGGTGTCTTCCTGAATGTAACAATGGAACGATTCTCTCTCTCCCACTCCATAAACCAGAACAAGTCCACTGCCGTGGAGGAAGGGGCCCTGTGGCATAGTGGTTGGGGATCAGGCTGTCAGAAACACCGGCTGCTCTGAGGGAGAAAGACGGGGTCTTCTGCTCCTGTGATTAGCGACAGGCTCGGAAACCCACAGGGCAGCTCTACCCTGTCCCATGGGGTCGCTGTGAGCCGGGCCAAGCTCGAGCGAGCCCTGGAGTTGATCCTGACGTGCGATGCGCATACGGGACAGGGCTCCCATGGCTGTCAGTCCTTCAGGAAGCAGGCTGCCTTGCCTTACTCCCATGGGGCTTCTGGTGGCTTCGAACCACTGACCTTTGAGTTCACAGATGATTGCTGAATCCCTGGGCCACCAAGTACACTCTGCAGAGTACTGGAACCACAAACCACTGCTCCACCCGCTCTCCCCTTCTGGAGCAGGCTGGGCTTCCCTGGATTTGGCCGGAAGGACAGACGCATTGGCACGAGCCTCGGGCCGGAGAGGCTGCGGGGAGCACTTCCCTAACGGGGCACTGAAACCGGCCGGCCAGGATCTGCCTGCCCTCACTGCCGGGTTAGGGGAGCAGGCACAGGGCGACTGCTGTACTAGATGCTGCAGAATTACGTGCAACACCCGCTCTGTTAGCAACTCTGCGAATGGCGGTGAGGGACCCCCCCCCCCCGCAGTGTCACCTGGCTCTCCCTGGGGGGTACAGAGGGATGCAGAGACCCCCAGTGCCAGCCCCAGTCCCATTCCACTGCTCCCAGGCCTGAGGGTGGGTAGCCTCTCAATCCATCAGCTTTCTGCAGTCTGAGTCTGACCCTCCCCCTACCATGGTACATCTGGACAAACCACACTGGGGAAGGCAGACAGCCATTCTCGGGCTCCTCCCCCACTGGAGGCCACAGCCGGGCCAGGTGACGTGCCCCTAAGGTCCTGGCCCCACTGTGCTGCATCAGGAGGGGGCTCACGAGGCTGGAGGAGCATTGAAACTCAGTTGTGGACTTCGGGCCCCATTTTCTAGACACTCGGGAGAGGGGCCGTGGGAAAACTCTTCTTGGAAATGGCATGCTTATCAGCAATCCAGGGCTGGACTCCAGTGATACTGCTGGGCCGGGGAGGGAGGGCGCAGGGGCCAGGCCAGGCCTTGACCATGTTCCTCCACAGACCCTAAAGCTCAGGGGAGCCTGAGTGGATGGGCAGGCAATACAGGCTCAATGAACCATTCTGCTACTCCTGCTTTCTCCTCTGGGACAGGGGCTGGTGGTGTCCACATCAGAGCCGTGAGTGAGACGGAGTGAGAGCCCTCTGTGAGCTGAGGCACGAGGCTTCCAGGCCCCCGAGCTGCAGAAATGCACTCTCTCCTGTGGCCGGCAGCGCCTGCACAGTCACAACACGGGTTCTTAAAGGGGTGACAACAATCTCTCGTGCACCGGCACAGGCCAAAGGGCTGGCAGAAAGGCCAAGAGAAGGCAGCAGAGATGAACCCCTGCCCTCCACCCACCCGCCTACCAGCGGACACCTGCCAGGTGGGGGCACCTCACTAAGCTCCAGCTGAGACGCGTGCAGCCCCTGCAAGACTCGTGGGCAGGGCAGGCACCTTGTCAGTCCTGCTCACTCGGGCACCTCACCCCCACCACCACCCCTGGCTGGCATCATGTCCCGAAGCAGCGTGCCCACCCTACTCTGAGCGAGGGAAGGGGGTGGGGGTGGAGGAGGATGGGGAGCAAAGCCCCACTCACATGGGGCGTGGAACATGATGAGGACAGAGGAGTGTTCCTTCACAAACTGGTCAAAGTCTTCGTCCGTCAGGTGATAAACGGAGCCGCCCTCCTCTGACCAGGGAGCCTCGGGGACCTGGGGCTGTGGTGGCTGCGGACTGGAAGACCAAAAACAGGCAGAGCTCAGAGCAGCCCTTACAAAAGCCAGCCCCCTGGACACGAGCCCCCCTGGCTTGGCGGCGGTCTGCTCCGGGGCAGGGACTCAGCCTTCGGCACAGCGGGCACAGCAACCCCTGGGGGCCATGCAGGAGGGGTGGCCCAGCCCGCCTCCACGTTTCCTGAGCACCCCCGAGTGCTTAGGGGATGGCCCTTCCACGCAGGGCACTTCGTGCTAACTGTCCAAGCCGCTCAAGCAGTCCCACGTGCCCTTGGGAGCTTGGTGGCTCCTTCAAACTTACAGCAGATGGGAAGGCCCTCTGAGCCGCAGGCTGCCTGTGGTTCGGAACTGCCCGGCAGGCCAGGGCCCAGCGGGAGAGCAGAATGGATGAGGGTGGGATACTGTGGTAGTGCCATCATCTGGTGTCAATTTAGGACTGGAGAGGATTAAGAGTGAAGGAGTGGAGTCTACCCTGTCAATTGGTCACAGCCAATGAGGCCTCTGTGGGCCTGGCCTTTCCCTGAGGATTCTGGGAAAACTCTGGGATTTCCTTCTTGGAGGCAGGAGACACCTTTTCTCTCTCGACTCACTCCCTGGGAGCTGCTCTTCTGACAAGACACAGAAGCTATGCTGATGGGAGCAAGAGGCCTGGACCTGGAGAAGCCACGTGGAGAGCCCCGCCAGTGCCGCCATGCTCCCACTGTGGCTGGATCCACAAGGCTTCCCACCCACTGGCCTGTGATCTACCTGCAGTCGGCACATTGCATGTGTTTCGTGAGTCTGAGGAGGACTTTCTATCGGTATTGGACATGTGGGCTAACTCTGGACTAATGAACTTAATCTGGACTGGGCTGGGGTGTTTTCTCAATACTCAACTACTCTTGTATATAAACCTCTTTCTTATATACATGTGCATGTCTGTGAATTTGTTTCTCTGGTCTACCCGGACTAACACAGACGTACATGGGAGCAAGGGGCAGAGGGAGGCCCAGTGTCTGAGGGCACTGATGTTGGGAGGAGAAAGCTAGCTGTGGGCTTGGGAGGGGTGGGGGCAGGAGTGCAGAGGGATGACGAGGAGTGGGCTAAGTGAACAGGGGGTGGGGGGGTTACCCTCACTATGTGCTACCGGTCTTTCTTGAGGCCAAGAACCAATGGACGCCACTCCCAGAGGCCGTGCTGGATCAGGAAGAACTGGCTCAAAGTCTATCCAGATCCCAGCTCTACCAATTGCTGGCTGCAACCCTCCCCCGGGGATCACCAAGTGTGGATATGGCCCTTGGGCACTGGCTGGTACAGGTGGTGGTGACTATTCCACTGCTAATATAAGGTCGGTGGTTCTGGCAGCCCGGCATTCCACTCTGCAAGAAGGGCCTGGCAGTCTCCTGCCAGATCAGCCTGCCGCCGAGGAATGAGGGAGGCCGCTGATTCGGGCTGATGCTGGGGGCTGTGGCTGTGTGGAGGGGAGGTGGCTGGGGACCCATTTCCCCGCTGTACCTGTGCCAGGGTGGCCGACGTGCTGTTTTGAAAACACCTTTGGGGTGACAAATGTGAAGAACAGACCACCCCTGTAAGTTTCAGCAGCCAGGGCTAGAGAATTCAGCTGAAGCAGTGATGGTGGTGGCCAGCACAGAGGGGGTCTGACGGACCCCGATTCCCTCTCACAGGAGAAGCTGGGTTGGGTGCCACCTTCAGAAGCCTTGGCAAGCGTCTAATGGTATGACCTCTGAAACCCAGAGTTCTCCCCTGTCCTATGTGGTCAACGACAGTCGGAATCCACCCAATGACAGTGAGGGTAGGTTTTACTTTTTCGGAGGCCTCCCTAGGACTGGGCTTCACCAGCGCCTGGGCCACAGCCAGTCTGTTTGCCAGCAAAGAGGGCAGACGACCCTGACCTGTGCTTACCCCAAGTCAGGTGAGGCCAGTGGGCAAAATTAAGCTTCAAACGAGCCCACCAGCCAGACAACGGCCATGGGCCAGCGCCATAGAATCATGGGTTCAAACCACCAACCGGCACCACAGGCAGGACCTTTACAATGCACCACACGCATGCAGACCCAGGCACATCCAAGGGCACCACTCCGGACTGTTGGTCACAGCCAAGGCTGGAAAGAGCCCTCAGCCCCCAGCAGGGGAGGGTCAGGCCCACTGAGGCCACAGCATCCCCGTGATGGAGGGCGAGGATGCTCTGCAGGCACGGGCGTGGGAAGAGCTTCAGGGTCCCGTGCCGGAGACGTGGGGGCATGCCACAGTTTGCTACGGTTGCATTAAGGAAGAGAGAGAAAGCACACTTATTCCTCTTGGCATAGGAAACACTTTAGCAATGTCTATGGAAACCAACAGAAGTCACTGCCTATTAGGGAGTGGTAGCTGGGCTGCCAATCGGTAAGTGCACCTCACTACTAACCAGAGGCTGGGAGAGCGAGTCTACCCACGGGTACCCCTGGCAATCGCTAAGTGCACCTCACTGCTAACCAGAGGCTGGGAGAGCGAGTCTACCCACGGGTACCCCTGGCAATAGGTAAGTGCACCTCACTATTAACCAGAGGCTGGGAGAGCGAGTCTACCCACGGGTACCCCAGGCGATCTGCTTCCGATAAACCAGCCGTGGAAAGCCCTCAGCAGCCTGGTCCTGCTGTCACCCCTGGGGTCGCCATGAGGCAGCGCTGCCCAGCAGCAGCAGCTGGTGTGATCTGGTTCACAGGGAGCATGAGGGGGATGAGGGCGGAGGAAGCAGGTCCCAGTGAGACTTTCCAATTCAGGCCTTTAAACCTCTTTCAGAAAAAAAGTTGTATATGTGTCCTCTCTTCAAAAATTAAAATTATTTTTCACCTGATCTGGCCGCGGTATTCTCGCAGGATGGGAGAAGCCAGGGTTAGCAGCAGTCCGTGCATGAGAGAGTCTGGGAAACTTCTAGATAAACCTGGAAACTCAAACACCCACTCATCACCATCGAGTCAATGCTGACTCAGAGCGACCCCCGTTTCCTCTCAAACCACAAAAATGACAGCAGAGGTGTTGGGGGCGGGGAGGAACGAAGACACAGGCACAAAAGGAACAGGGCGGAAGGCCTCCGCCAGAGAAAGGAGGTCAGCAGTTTTAGAAGCTAGAAACCCGGCTGGCACAGCCACGGGCAGGAATCTGAAGTGCCTGGTGTGCTGGGCAGGAGCCGCCAAGGCTCCAAAGGCCCCAGGCACCGCTGCCAGAAGGGAGCTGCAGCCTGGGGCTAAGACACTGGGGTGGGGGTGGGGAGCATGAAGGGGGCGGGCAGCCACCACTGCAGACCTGTCCCTGCCACTCCTTTGTCCCCATCGAGAGAGAGCAGAGGAAGTTTACTTTCTGGGCCTGTGCAAAAAAGGAGCCTGGAACTCGGGGCCCTCCAAAAAACGTAAACCCCAGTAAATGTCTGACACCTGTACATAGGTGCCGAGCAAACACAGAAGGGGGAATGGAGCAGAAGCGGCACTCACAGCGAAGACTCGCTGCCATCGAGTGGATGCCGACTCACAGCAACCCTATAGGACAGGGTAGAACTACTGCCCCGGTGGGTTTTCAAGACGGCAACTGTTTATGGAAATAGAAAGTCCCATCTTTCTCCCGGGAGCAGCTGGCGGTTTCAAACGGCCGACCTTGTGGATCGCAGCCCAGTGAGTAACCACTACGCCACCCGGGCTCTGAAGGAGACTCAGAGGGGAGCACATCAGTGCTTTTCAAATATTTCAGAAATCAGACGACTTCTCTGGAGAGGAGAACCAGCCCGTGGTGCTCTGGAGACAGACGCAGCGGCACAACAGAACGACGTTCTACCTACCGAGGCTGGGGAGGAAACAAACCAGGACCAGGAGTCAGAAGCCTAGATCTGGGTTCTCCCTCCCACTTAGCAGCTGTAGGAGCGCCAACGGTCACTTGACTTACGGAACCCCCGTCGAGTCCATGCCCACTCAGAGCGGCCCTACAGGGCAGGGTAGAACTGCCCCTGTACGTTCCAAGACCCCGATTCTTCATTGGGTAGAAACCCGTCGTTCTCCCACGAAGTGGCTGGTGGTTTTGAACTGCTGACTTTGCAGTTAGCAAGCGATCTGATGTGCCAGTGCGTACCCACTACACTACCAAGGCTCCTATGTAGAAGACAGGCCTTGTTTGTTGTTTTAATCCACCTCGAAGAAAGCAGGACCACGGGATTTGAAGTGTTTCATACATTTTATCAAGCATTGCCCAAACTTCCCTGGACATCAAAACGAGGCAAGCCTTTGCCAGCTGTGGAGGTTAAGCTATTGCGCCCCATTCCCACTGAGTCTAGTCTGACTCAGAGTAACCCCACAGGGCAGGGGAGAGCTGCTGGCACGGTGGTTATGTGTTGGGCTGCAAACCTCCAGGGCAAGAAGTTCAAAACCACCAGCCTCTCTGCGGAAGAAAGAGGAGGCTTTCTACTCCCAAAGAAGGTTTCGGCTCCAGAAACTCACAGGCAGTTCTCTCTGCCCTACAGCCTTGCCAGGAGTCCGAATGGACGTGAGAACAGGGAGTGGTCAGAGAGAGCAGGCAGCGTCCTCTCACTCACTGAAGGGAGTGGCTGGTGGGTGTGAACCACTGACCCTGTGGGCAGAGCGAACTACTTCCAAGGTTGGCCCTGGAACCCCCAACAGAGGCCGGACCTGTGCGGGTCCAAGTGTACACAGATTTTGTTTACACGCGGTGACTGGAAGCCTCTCCATGAGCAGCTCCTCACCAGGAAACCGCCCTGCAGCCAGGAGTGACGGCTCCGGTCCTCACACCTTCCCTGCCACGGTCAATGACTCCCACCATAGGACACCCCCCCCACCCCACTCCCCCAGTGCCCCCGGTGGGGCTGGAAGGGCCCTCAAGAAACAGACGGTCATGATAGATTTTTTGCTCGATGGAGGTCCGTGGCTCCGGCAGACCGATGTTTCAAGATAAATGAATCCAGTATCTGGACTGTAAAACAACAGGAGGAGCAGGATCTCTGAAGCCGTCACGACAGTGTTTCCATCCGGTGCAAATTTGTACCTCATACTGAAAGTGCAGCTTTTGCGTGGGTGGGAATGTCATACAGGTAACATACAAAGTAGGTGGTAGCAACCCAAATTCATGTCAACTTGAAGACCGAAATATATAGCTCTCTGGAGGCCAGCCGCTCGCCCTGCCTGCTGGCCATCCTGAGAGCTGGCGGTGCAGCCCTGCCGTGCTGTCAACTGACCTCGGATCCATGTGACTGTACCCACCGGCCTGGGATCTTCCTGCATTCTGCACCATCGCACGTGGCTGTGTGCAGCTGTAGAGGGACTGATGGACTGGTACTGGACTTATGGACTTGAGTTGGACTAGACTGGGATGTTTTCTTGCTACATAATTAACTTCTTGATATAAAGCTCTTTCTTACGCATGAGTGTTGCCATGAGTGTTACCGGATTTGTTTCTCTAGTCAGCCTGGCCTAACACAACAGACAAGTTAATTAACTGTGCATGCCGCTGTCAAGGGTCTGGTCAACAGTAGGCTATTAGAAGCTAAGTTCTGGGGCAGCCAAAGGTTATTTCTGGCTTCTCAACAGCGCAGGGAGTTGGTGCCTGGAAGCCGCGAGTGGTGAAGGGTCAACTGCCTGGTGGAGGTGGGGCAATGGCTAAAAGGGAAGTCGCTGGAGTGGACTTGATGACCTTAAGCCCCTCCCAATCCCGTAACTCTGCTTGGCGTTGGTGAGAGCAGCTGCCCGCACTGTGGGCCTGGGAGGCTCACCCACGTGGGACTAGTGTCTAGGGAGGGGGGGGGGAGAAGGCGTGCCATGTGTGAGGCACCTTGGCTGTTGTCCTGAAGCTTTGTGCTTACCTTCAGTTTGCTTCCGGTTTGGCCAGAAATGGGGGGCCAGGCCCAAACGGATTTCCCCCTCACCTATCCCACATCCCCACACCTCACCCTCCTCGCTGGCAGAGAGGGGAATGGGAAGTCAGGGTTGCGCCCTTCAGCCCAGAGGCACGCACGTCGACCAGAGCCCCCTCTCACGCTCCGACGCCAGGGACTCCTGCCCTCGCCTGGCCCACCAGCATGGAAGGAGAGCCTGGGGTTTTCTCCCTCGGGGTGGAAGTCAAAGTCACCTGGAGAATCAGCCACCCCAGCTGCACCCTCGTGACGCTACCTCGCGAGCAGTGGGGGCTGACAGAGAGGCCCAGGGAAGGCGCAGGGAGGCAGGGGACGATGGAAAACACCTGCTACGTGGACAGACAGCTGCGGGGCTGCTTCTAGACGGGAGTCCAGCTGGACGTCCCCGAGTGCCACCGCATGTCCTCTTTGGGCGGGGGGCCTTTTCGCTTCACGGTTTCAGTTGTCTGTAAAGAGTGCATCTCACTCGAACACTCTGAAAAGGACGTGTTCAAAATGAAATCGGCGGCAGCACGGGGTCCAGTGTGACAGTCAATTTTACGTGTCAATCTGGAGACGGTTGCTCCCAGCGCTTCAGCCAACGATCTGTCTAGTTGCTCGCACGATGTTATTTACGGCGAGGTCAGTCATCAATCAAGCAGCTGAAAAGGGGAGTCTGACTTAGGTTGTGTCCTGCCTCCAAACCACAGCTATTTTGGCAGAACCTCCTCTTTCATCACTGGAGTCTCTTCCAATCACCTGACCCACAGGTCTCAGACACAAGCCTACAGGAACCACCAGCTTGCCACTTGGTTTAGGGTTTGGTAACCCCCACAATCTATAACCCAATTCCTTGAAATCAGTCAATCAATCAATCCATCTCTTCCTCTCTCAAACATCTCTAAACACCTCACAGGTTATGTTTCCAAGAGCACCCTAAACACACCTTGCTAACTCTGCTGGGGCATGAGATTAGACAGCTCACTGAAGGTCCCCCAGGAGGTGGCTGCTCCCACCCACCCCTGCACCTGCCTCTGTGCCCCCGACACAATGTCCACCGGTGTGGGTTGCTGGGGAAGGAGCTGCCAGGGAGACCCAGAGGCCTCCCCCCCTCCCCCTCTTCCAGGAAGTAGCCCATCACCCATCTCATCCTGGGTATGAAAGATGAAGCAGAGGCTGAACACGGTCTCCTTTCCTTTGGGAGAGAAGACAGTGAGAAGCACGCGGTCGGGTCGTGCGCAGGAACCAGCCCAGGTCGGACGCTGTGGCAGAGCCAGGGGGTGTGCAGAGAGGAGTTGGGGGGAGTACACAAGTCGGATGGCTTTCTCCAGTGCGGAGATTAACAGCTCCCCAGTCCAACTGATGGGATCCCCTTGTCTGGGGTTGGCGAGATTAACCAGTACACACACACACACACACACCCCACCCCCCACGCCCCATCCGTCCAAAGACATGGAGGGTGTTCTGAAAACAGGAGTGGTTAGAGGAGGGTGGGGAGGTAGGGGAGAGTGGGATTTTATGCTGGGTGATGAATGAGACAGCTGTTTGTCGAAACCCTGCCCCAGCGCAGAGCGAGAGGCGAAGCTTCCGGCGAGAGGAGAGGGCCGCTTATCATCCCGTGGAAGAGGACACAGGCTGAGAGAGAGTGCGTGAGCATGGGGCCACCTTCGTAGGCAGGGGCTGGAAACGGAGTATTCGATGGGCACAGAGGTAAATAAAGAAGGGATGTCACGTGAACACCACGCCAGCACGGTTTTCCCTCCGGGACGCCTGGCTCACACCGCGACAGCGTTTCAGCCTTCAGAATTCTCACCTGCTGTGTTGGTGTTTCATGTGTGCCCCACGTCCGGCCACCTCTCCCCCTCCAAAAGCGCCCATTTGTAACATCCGTATCTTTAGATCACCAATTCTCAGATCCCTCGGGGCACCACTCTGTCAGCAGGTACCCAGGGTATGGTGGCTGGGGTGGGGTCGGGAACTGGGGGTCAGGAGGGCATCAGCTCAGACCAGAGCACAGGAGGCCCGCTTCGTGGCGGGGAGCTGTCTGAGGAGAGGGGGTCGCTCTCAGAGTCATCTTGTCAGCCGTGTGACCCTGGACAAGTGCCGTCAACCCTGTCCCCCGTGACCTCTCTCAACAACCCGTTCCCCTCCCTGGAAATGACATGAGAAGCCACTACCACTTAGCACAGTGTCTGCTCCCAAGCAAAGCCCGGCACTGTGGTGCCCCCGCAGGGCAGGGCAGAGCAGGGAGGGCTCGTCTGGCGGCCTCGGAGGGAAGGGGTGGGGGGGGACTGGGCACAGTGGGGATCCGGATGAGCTCATGGTGATGGTGAAGGGGTTGGCTTAATAAGGGCCAAACTGCAGACACCTTGTGTTATCAAAGAGGGTCATCACGGGCTGCAGGGAGGGCCGGCCACTTGACGCAGGGCCTGGGGAGGGTGCAGGCCAAGTCCACGGCATCAGAACGTCCCGTGGTTGCTTCCCAGCAGCTGGCACAGCTGTCTCTGGGGCACGGGATCAAGTGACAAGACTACTCTGCGAGAGGTGGGGTGGACTCCCGCCCGAACATGACACTCGGGGTGGGGAGCAGCACGCAGGGAAAGTCTGCCTGAAGCCCAGTGGGATTTCAGAAAGCCCCCCACTTTCCCAGGAGCGCCGACTGGCTTAGTGCGCCCTCCGCTAGGAAGGGCGAGAGGAGAGGGCGGCCCACCCAGCCAACACTCAGGGTCCAGCCATCACGGGCCAGAGTCACAGAGTCCTCATCTCGGGTACCCCTAACTCTCAGAGCTGATCCAGACCCACCCCTGAAACAGCCCAGCAGCCTCCTCGCCCCCAGCCAGAGCCCTGGGGCCCCCAAGGACCCCCGCAGCCAATGCCCGACTCACTTCTTCAGCCACTCCACGATGTCCTCTGCGGTGGCCCCGTAGTTGTCATACTGGAACAGAAAGCTCCCCTTCCTGTGGACGTGCAGAGACGGGGGGAGGGGGGTCAGTGGGGTGCGACCCCGGGGAGGGAGGCGCTATGCAGAGGGGAGCAGGGGACTTACTCAAAGTAGCAGATGGTGGGGTAGCCCTGTACGTTGTACTCCTCCTTGATGTTCTCAAACTCCGGGGGGTACACGTTCATCCCAGCCAGCACCTGCAGGGAAGGAAACCAGCCTGGTCCAGCCTTGGCCCCCAGGCTCCTCAGCCTCACCCTGTCTGGGAGCCACCTGGCCAAGGGTTGCAGCCACTCCAGTGTAGCTCTGCACCTCAAGGTGCAAGCGGGGGCAGCTGGGCAAGGAGGGCCAGCTAAGCCCGGAAACTGGGAACTCCAGAAAAGCCAGAATTCCAGGCCGGAGGGCCACGCTCCACACAGGGCTGCCTTTTGACTGTCCCACAGGAAGACCCACCCCAGGGAGAAATAAGGTCCTGAGGGCTGAGGAAGGAACCCGGCCTAGTTACACATGCAGACAGGTCCCAGAGCAGGGCCAGTCACACAGGTGCAGAGCTCCCTGCCCGGTTCTCCTGGTATGTGGTTTGCCCACACCTCTTGTCCACTCTGTCCCTGGCCCGGCCCCAGTCTGTCCACAAAGGCTGACTGCACAGCTCACGGGACCGCGATGCAGTGGTTTCCAGGCTCCATGATGACCGGCCTACAGCACCAGCCCACGCCCGCTTGCTCCCCGACCTGAGCTCCTGTTTGTGGCCATCATCCACAGCCCGATCTGACGGTCCACTCACCGACTACACCTGCTCGGGGGCCAGGGGCTTAAAGGAGAATTCCCCTCTCTAACTGAGGGCACAGCTGAACATGAAGGACACTCCAGGCAGAGAGCCATTCTGCTGCAGGCTGAATGCTGTCCCCTACAAGCATGAGTTCAAGTTCCCGACCCTTAGGCTTATGGGTATTATTCTGATAGGAAACAGGGCTCCTTTCTTACGGCAACTAAGCCCTCTCCTGAACCAGTCACATCAGGAGCTGCAGATGGAAAGGCTCCCACAAATGGGGTAGAGAGACGTCATTAAGAACTTCAAGGACCCAGGTCTGATGGGCTGGCCCCAATCCCAACTATGTGGACAGCTGCCCCTCCCCCCAGAAGAATTAACTTCAGAGGACAGCACTGAAGCTGCAGCTCAGGGAGAGGGACATGTCTGATCAGAGCACATGGGAACAAATCAAGGGGGAGGAAGAGAGAGTGGAGCACGTCCTGACCCACCAAGCCTTGAGGACGCTATCCCTGCTCTGAGCAGCCAATGCACAGAGGATCATATGGCCAGCGCCACTACGAGACATGACATTCCTCACTGACCCATAGCCCTACAGGAGACAACACTGGAGACACAGTGTGGGAATTGCACCCGATCTGACCCCACTACATTGAGGCACAACATTTAGGGCGTGTAAAAGAACAGCAAGGGGAGCAGAGCAAGGAAGTCCTGTGGGAGTACCAAAAATAGACTTTGGGGTCAGGGCGTGGCACCCCATTAGACGCTACCAGAAAGCATTCATAAAGGTCAACGAACAGACCTTGAACTATTTACAGGCTTTTCTTTCTTTTCTTTTTTTTTGTCATTGTTTTTTGTTGTTTTGTTTTGCTCTGTCTTGTTTTTTGTGCTTATTATTGTCTCTGCAGGTCTACCTAGGTAAGATGGGCGGGATAAACAATCGGGAGGAGAAAACCAGACCAGCGGTTCCTGGAAGCACATGGGAGAGGGGGAGGTGGGGGGAAGGAAGTGGTGTTAACAAACCCAGGGACACGGGAACAACAAGTGACCCAAATCGGTGGCGAGGAGGGTGGAAGAGGCCTGGTGGGGCTTGATTAAGGGCAGTGTCACCGAGAGGAATTACTGAAACCCAAATGAAGGCTGAACATAATAGTGGGACAAGAGGAAAGTCAAAGGAAATAGAGGAAAGAGCTGGGAGGCAAAGGGCATTTATAGAGGTCTAAATACAGGCATGTACATATGTAAATATATATATATGAGAATGGGGAAATAGATCTATGTGCATATATTTATAGGTTTAGTATTAAGGTAGAAGATGGACATTGAACCTCTGCTCAAGTACTCCCTCAATGCAAGAACACTTTGTTCTATTAAACTGGCATTCCATTATGCTCTGCTCACCTTCCTGGCATGATCGCTGAAGACAAAGCAGGTGCATAAACAAATG